GTAATGACCCAGGTGTTCTCCAGCCCTAACCATCGGTGACACCTGCACAAAATATCAAGCAATAAAGTGCCAAAGAGGCAGATTCTCCTATCAACGCATCAAAAGCTGATGGCAAATGGCTCTCTTAAGAACCCATCTCATAGCAAGTCCGTACAAGCAGTCCTGTGGCACCTTAGAAACTAACAGATTTATTTTGGCATCCGCTTTCATGGCTCAAAACCATCAGCATCATGCATCTCGTGAAGTAGTTTTTACCCGCAAAAGCTGAGGCCCAAATGAGTCCGTGCATCTCCAAGGCTATGTCTACACCACAGCACTATTTTGGGATTCCGAAAGTATCCTGAAACAGCTATTGCACGTCTTTTTCAGCTCGCCCGTTATTTTGAGAGATAACGGGCTCGCTATTCTGACGTCCCTGTAAACCTCGTTCCACGAGGGTTAAGGGACGTTTCAGAACAGCGCTTTATTTCGAGGTACGGGTGCAGTGTAGATGCACCCCACGGTGCCACGGGACTCCTCATTGGCTTTGCAGATGCAGACTAACCCAGCGCCCCCTCTGAGACAAGTCCACACAGCAACCGGAAGCTGCAGAAACGCACAGGCATCCTGTAGTGCAATGAAAAGTAATCCGATAGGACACGAACCCTCCTTCTAGTGGGTGTGGCAGTCTGAGCTCCATGTGGTCCAGAAGCGGAACATACCAGCCACGGTGCAGGAAACAAGCAGGCCAGTGCGCATTATTTTTGCAGCTGAGACTGTACTGAGGACATATCCAATGGTATCTATGGAAACAAGTGACCACAGCCATTCTAAGGGGCAAAAATACAAGCATGCAGCCAAACCAAGCTTGATTGAAGTCAGTGGTTGTCCAACCAGGGGTCACAACCCAGCACTGGGGCTCGGTGCTGCAGGGGGGTCAGGAGAGCAGTGGTGGGCCTAAGGCAGCTCCCTGCCTGTCCTGGCACCACAGATGGCGCTGCACCCCAGAAGTGGCCGGCAGCAGGCCCAGCTCCTAGGTGGGGCGGGGGGGAGAACGCACCTAGCTCTGCGCACTGCCCCTGCCCTGAGCACCAGCCCCGCACTCCCATTAGCTGGGAACCTGCTGCCGGCTACTTCTGGGCGCAGCCTGGTCTGCGGTGCCAGGAGAGGCAGGAAGCTGCCTTAGCCCCCCCACTGCGCCACTGACCAGGAGCTGCTCAAGGTGAGCCCCTCCTACCCCAGCCCTGACCCCTCCCCCAAAAGCAGAGCCCCTTCCTACAGCCCAAAGCTCCCCTCCTCGGCCCCACCCCGGAGCTCACACTAGTCAAATTATATTGGGTCGCAGGCACCAACAATTTTCTTCAACCGGGTCATGAGAAAAAAAAGTTTGAAAACCACTGACTGAAGTGACCCCACAGAATGTTCGTTTCCACATCTCATGGGTAGCGATGGGAGTTCTTTCACCTCTCCCCGCGGACAGATTTCTCATCTGGGGCAACACGCAGGTGGATTCTCTTAGGCACGAGAGGGTGCAGCGTTAGAAAGACAAGGTGGATGAAGTAGTATCCTTAACTCTGACCTTCAGAAAAGCTCTGTAAAAGCTCAAAAGCTTGTCTCTTTCACCCAGAGGTTGGTCTTACCCACCTGGCTTCTCTCATACCCTGGGATTAGCATGGCTACAACACTGAATCGGTTCGCATGGTCACTTGCACAATAGGCTGGGGATTAAGGGACCCTACAGGCGTACACTGATGTGACACCTCAGGGCTTAGCTAATAAGGTGACAGGTGCAATATAAATACTAGGATGCACAGGGCACAGTGGATCTAAGCGGGCTATTCTGGTTTACTGTCGCAATAATCCGTGGCCTGGCTCACAGAATTCCAGGACAACGTTATCCCATTATTTTAAAACTACCTTTAAACGCTGAAGAAAAAAGTTTTAAAAATGGCCCCGCAGAAGATATGAATTAGATTTGCAAAGCAAGGAAATTCCTCGGGTGAGGCAAACCCTCAATTCGCGACTCTCCCAAAACAGGGACACTGCGTTCTCCCCTTAAATCAAAGCTTCCTCGCTCTCGTTTGTGAGCATCCGCCCCTTAGCACTCCTTCGGTTTTGTGGGTTTTCCTCTAGTCTCACTGCTGGAATCCCAAGACAATTTAAACAGGGGGTCTCTGAAGCCTGATGCTTCTTCTGGCACCATCTAGTGATGAAAGCCGGGCAGTGCCTGGTCACAGGCATTAGGAGAGAAAGGTGATTTTTCACGAATTGACTTCGGGTTGTGATTTCCTACTAAGAATTGCAGAAAATGCCCATTTTGGTTCTAAGCAGGAGTCAGATGTGCATCGCCAGGCAAGCACCAGCTCTTGGAAAAGGAGCGTAGCAGGGCAGGGTGTAATAAAATCTCACCACCCGTAGGAAAAAGTCTTGGGGCGTTGGGTATTTTTAAATCTGCTCCTAGTGCCACGGTACTAGAAGTGTGAGGTTACAAACATCAGACTGATAGCCTTGCGGAAATACTACAGGACTGTATCCCGTGTCGAATTTCCATAGAAAGTTTAAAATTCATCAGTGTTCATTCATGTAAAACCTTTTAAAAATACAAATGGTCTAAATGCAGCGGTGACAAGCCCAGACTCGGGAAAGCTAGAGTCCAACGCGTGCCCATCAGAGGAACCTCCTAGCGGTGGTTTAACTGGGGTTCACCCGCATGGGGAATTAGTGGCAAAGCATGCGGCTGATTCTTTTAGCGGGATCAGTGCAAAATGCTACATGCTCCTTCCTTACACCCTGCACTGGAAGACAGCAATAGCTAGTAGGAGTCAGCGAGTGCATGCGATCGCTCCGTAGACGGGAATGGGGAAGCAAAAGCAGATCGAAATATTCCAGCCAGAAAGAAATCAGGTTCACACCTCTTCTTTATGACTGATTCCCTTTGGATCTTGGCAATGTTTCAGACTACGGGCTTGAAAGCAGTGTCACCATTTTCTGCCCAAGCTCCGTAACGGCTGACATGCAGCGAGCAGGTTTAGCGCTAAAACAAAAGTGCCAGGGCTCCTGCCTCTTTTCGGATACGGTGCACAACATTCCGATCCTATCGCTGAGTTGCAGAGCAAGGAAAAGTGCCCCCGGAGAGGGTGGGGTGGTGTTTCACTCATGAAAACCAAAACGCCAAGTGGTGCTAAAATTCAGTCCAATTTCACTCCCAGACATGAACCCCTGGAAGCGCCGTTCGGAGGCATAAAAACGTGCTGATGCGGCGACGTGTTGGGTGCTGGGGGGATGGGGATCGGCCAGGTGCCACTGTGATCAAACGGGGGAGTGGGTCTGAAAGGCATAGCACCAGCAGCAGCTCATTCCAGGGCCCACTCCGCCAACCACTGCTCACACTTGGCTCGCTCTTCCTCCGTCTCCAGGCTCTTGGCTTTGCTGGGCATCTCCTCTTCCCCGCTACTAAGAGATGCTTCCCGGTGCCTTGCCTCTTCCTCCACCCGGAGGGTCTTGTCCTTCAGTTCCTGGATCATCTCGTCCAGTCGGTGAACCACGCGGTGTGGGACCCAGTTGCTATCCAGCGAGGTCAGGAAGGGGTCAGGAGCTCTCACCTCAATTAGTTCCTTGCCGGCAGGGATCCGCAGGTAGTGGGCATGAAGCATCATTCTGTACGGGCTGCTGTCCTTCTTCAAGCTGTAGGTGAAGTCCCCCACGATGGGGTGTCCGGCAGCGCTGCAGTGAACTCGGAGCTGGTGTGTCCGGCCTAAATGGAACACGGGAATCAAAGCGTTAAGGACGCAGCGTCCAAACACGGAGAGCGAATCCCTGTGTGGTTGGAAGAGAACGCGCTGTCGGCTTTGACCTTTGGAGACACGGGCTCAAGAGCTCATTTAGGTCATGGCTGACACGGAGTTTGGTTTTCATCTCCTCCTAGACCCCCAATGGTTCTGCTCCTCGGTGCAGAACCGAGTAACCCTGTAAGTGAGGCCCAGGGCTGGAAACACCAGATGACTGGGGCTTCTCCGGGCAGGATCTCCTGCTCCTTCCCTCCAGCTTTCTTGCCTCAGAGAGACTCTGTCTTTTAACAGATGAGACCCACCCAACCGCACCGTCAGGGTGAGTCAGCAGAACAGCTCTGCACCCTGCTCTAGGCTCTAGAGCAGGGGTCGGCAACCTTTCCGAAGTGGCATGCCGAGATTTAACCCTCCTGCCCTGGTCTCCGCTCCGGCTTGTCCTGTCATGCTTTCACAGTTTCGCTTTTTTTTTTTTTTTTTTTTTTAAACAATAAGGGTCCATCTACACTGCATGGCTACATAAGCTGCACGTTACATCGAAATATTTTTCGAAATAACGGGTGCGCTATTTCGCCATTCCGGCAAAACTCATTGCACGAGGGATGAAGGATGGCTCGAAATAGCGTGTTTATTTTGCAATCCGATGCTGTGCGGATGCGCCAAATTTCAAAACAGATTTGAGATGAGATATGAGATTTGCGTCACGCAAATTGCATATCTTATTTCAAGTTTAGGGGGCTGTGCAGATGCATGCTAAGCGATGAATATTAAACATAAAATAAGTAAAAATAAAAAGAGAAACTCAAAATAAACACCCTGAATCCCTTTGACAATAATAAAGCAACTAACACCATAAACAATCATTACCATAAAAATTTAAAAATAATGATAGGTATTCCTATAAAATACAAAAAATAATACTTCTTACTCAAAATTAACTAAAAGCTCAAAAAAGGCCACCAGCGGGGTGGTTTAACACACACACACACACACACACACACACACACACACACACCCAATATAAAACAATAAAGCCCAACTATTAAACCCTTCAAAGTAGGGTGTGAATGGTTAACAACACCCTTCCTAGTTATGGTCAGCGACTGCTCCAGCTCTGTGGGGCCTGGCGCACCACAGGTAGGGACACTCCAGCCTGGCAGACCAGCCCCTTCCTGACCGGGGCCACCAGAGAAGCTGCTGCCCGCCACGCAGCCTCCGTACACATGCGGGAGGGGAGTTGAGCTCCTGCCACATGCCGTAGGTTGCCGACCCCTGCTCTATAGTGCGCCAGGCTAGGGCCGCCTCAGCCCTCTAGCTCTTACCTGTCAGCGGCTGCAGAAGCACTTTAGTCACGGGGTCGCCGCTGTACGATCCATGCTCCAGGACGGTCAGCTCGGACTGGCACGGCTTTGGATTTTCACAGCCTAGGACAAGGTGGGAAATAGGAGTTCAGGCCGATCCGCCCCCGCTGCCCGTCTCCTGAGACAAGCAGCGACAAGAGTGCACGAAAAGGCCCCCCCGCGTACCTTCCGTCCCTTCGATACACATCATGTGGGTCATGCCCTCTGTGGTGTTCTTCCCTATGGCATAGTGGATGGTCATTCGGCTTTCCCTCACGTGCCCCCTGACCTGCAAGACAGAAGAGCGTGGGTTCATTCACGGGACAAACCCCCCCCCCCCCCGAAACTCACTTCGGAACAGTTCCAGGACCCTGAAACCAAAACTTGGAACCTCTTCTGGGCCATCAACTCTGGGTGCAACTGTTCCCCCATGAAAACGGAGCCGTGACACAAAAATCACGCTGACACCCAAGGGGAGACCCCAGCCCCAAAGCGCTTACACGCTAAGGTTCCCATCCTGAAACAGTGCGCACGCAGGCCACTGCGTCTCTGTAGAGTCCATTGGACTCTAGTGAATCTACCTCGCTCTGGCAATTTCCAAATCAGAACCTAAGTACTTGATTTGAAACAGCGGCAGCAGCCGGCTGTTAATATGACACAGAAAATACAGTTAGGACACACAAATCCCACAACGACTACGCACTCTCACAGCAATACTCATATATCCATGAACCGACTCTCTCACAAGCATATATAAAATCTTAGGTGGGTTACCAGAGAGGCTTTTGCACTAGAGCTTCCTAATTCCTGCAACAAAACCGTGGGCATCAATATCTCTGGCCACAAACACCAACAGTACTTCCTGTGATGCCTCTGTGAGGAAATCCCTCAGGTCTGCTGGACAAACGGATTCTGTCTCCGAAGCAGCGTGAAGCGACATTTATTCAACGCATGTTTGTTTTCTCCTGCGACGCTAAAGCCGTTTGTCTGAAATAGGGATGTCCGAGTTTAACCATTTAACCGATACGCGGAGGCTTATCCGTCAATCGTATCGGTTAAACTCAGCCAGCTGCCGGCAGGGCAGTGAAGCCTCCTTCCTGGGAGCCCAGCAGGCAAGAGCTGGCAGCCCCACTCCGCAGAGCCCGGGCGTATAACTGCTGAGAGGTTTTTAGCGGTTCCACGTTTACTGCATTAAACGATTTTTAACATCCCTAGCCTCAAAGTGGGTCTGAATTAATATGTCTCAGAGGGGGTAGCTGTGTTTCTCCATTCATGCTCATTGGAAGAAGTGGGTTTTGCCCACGAAAGCTCATGATACCATCTATAGTTTTGGTAATCTCTATGGGAATGTCTACACAGCAAAGTTATTTCGAAATAACTTTCCTAGCATCTACACAGCCAAACCGCTATTTCGAAATCAATTCGAAATAGCGGAGCGCTTATTTCAAATTTGGTAAACCTCATTCCACGAGGAATAATGCCAAATTTGAAATAGCTATTTCGAAATAAGGGCTGTGTAGACACTTATTTCAAATACGGGGCCTCAGCCTTCCCAGGGTGCCCTGGTGGCCACTCCAGCCTCAGCCAAGAACACTCTTCTCCCATACCTTCCAGATGGCAGCCTGCAGAATGTGCAGCCAGGCTCACAGCAACGCGTCCATGAGAAGCACCACAGTGCCCAGGGGCAGCTCTGGCTCCATGTTGCAGAGCGCTGTGGTGTCCCGAGTGAGGGCAACCAGAGCATGCAGAGACAAAATGCTTTGCTGTCCCTCATCGAGGTAGGCAAGCAAGCAGGGAAACCGGAGACCTGGCTGTCCGGGGGAGGCGGGGTCCCTTTAAGCACAGGCCTCAGATAGCCTCAGGCAGCAGCCACACAAAGTAACTCCTGACCTGATGCCCTGCTGGACCTGGTTCCGGCCGGCCTTAAATGTGATTCAGCGTCCACTCAGTGTGGACGCACTATTTCGAAAAAGCAAAACGCTATTTCGAAACGCATTTTGTGTGTAGATGTGTTATTGCAAATTAACTATTTCAAAATAAGATATTTCGAAATAACGCTGTAGTGTAGACATACCCTATGGTGCCACAGGGCTACTCGTTTCTGAATTAATCTCGGCCAAATTGCTAGCGACATGATTCCCTTCAGTTCATATCTATAAACACAGCAACAGTGGGAAAGGCTTTCCTGGCTCAGCTGAGACAAAGTGACATTGCACCCACCGTTGCTACCCTGGACCAGAGCTGATCTCTTTGGGGCATTTATCTCCCTCCTCTCGATTCATATCTTACGTGTAGGGTTAAATCCCAATGACATCAAAGTTAAACACATGCTTCAATGCTTTGGTGAGTCAGGGTGCAAGTTCTGATGCCCATCTTCTCCACTGCGTGCGTCGTTGTTATTAAAAAGAAGAGTTTAAAAACATTTCATGACACGAGATTCAAAAGGGAATAACGCACAAGGGCACAGGAAATCACCCACATTTCTCCTCAGCTACTAAGACGAAGGAATCTTTGTCCATCTGTCCATGAGACCGTTTGTTCAAGAACTCCTCCTAAACGGTAAAGAGCTGGGACCACCAAATTCGGTGGGCAGCTTCCTCTCCTCCTAACGTAAAGCAAAGTCAGGGTTTGGTTGTGCCAGGACAATGGGATGTACCTGGAATTTGATTGTTTCTTATAAAATGGAAAGGGGGGGATCGGGTAGGAGGGACAGTTATATTGCAGAATGACCACAGGGGGCAGCAAGGGACCAGCGATGGGGACAGGAACAGCTGTAACTCCACTGGGCCAGCAAGGGTGAAAAAAGGGACAACTATCTACTATATGTTTCCTTTCTGAGACCCTTTGTCCGGAAATGCTGCTGCTCTGGGCAAGGCAAGGCGGGTTGCGGGGGGGAAGAGGGGGAGCGGGTCCACAGCCTTTAGAAGAAAGGCTCAGAGAAACCAGTTTGGGCCTTCAAACATGGAGCGAATAGGAAGAGGGGGAATTAGAAGGTTCCAAAACTAAGCCAGTCACCCGACCTTATTTTATGTGTTCCCTGAGCCTTCTGGTATAGCTTAGTTCTTAGTAACCGGTGTTGCTCCTGAACAGCTGTGAGCCAGATGTGCCTGCAGGATCCCAATCTGCAGCAGACAAACTACCGGTTTATGCACCTCGGAGAATAACGCTGTCATTAAAAAGGCGGGATGCCACGAACGATGGCCAGAGGGTGCAGGACCATGACAGAGCCCAGGCAGAGAGGGCGACGCTTACCAGAGCAAGGTAGGCCTTGGTCACCATCCGCTCCTTAAAACACTTGTATGCGCTACCGGCAGCAGCTTTGTTGAGCGCAACGCAGAGGGCCCCACTGGTGGAAAAGTCTAGCTGATGGCAAAACCTAGGAGAGACAGGTAGCGCAAGAGAGAGTCAGAAACACTCTCCTCGGGATGCCCCCCATACTGTCGGAGTCTGGTGTAGTGGTTTGCGCGCCTAACTCCCAGAGGCGACTTTGAGAGTCCTACCCCAATAGGCTAATCCACGGAGCTGGTACACTTTGGCAGATGCTGGGGTTTGGCCCAAGCCCAGGCGCCATTTCAAAGGGACGTCTTCTACCGGGTCTATCTATACTTTTAATTCTCAGTTCGGTTGCTGGGTAGCGCCCATTCTCACAGCGGCGAGGGAAAGCTGCTCAGAGAGACGCTTTCCGCTGGCACGGAGCTCTGCTAAAATCAAGGGATTCCAAATGGCTTTGGCATCAGCCCACAGGATCTGCGCACTGAAGTCCGGGCCCGTCCTTACCCAGGCACTGAATACGCAGCTGCGCAGGGGCACCGGAAAATGTGGGGCCCTGCTGGGTCTTAATGTTTGCCCACCCGCCTCTTCCTACCCCTGTTCTGTGGCTCTGCCTCCTCTGCAGAGGATCTGGTTAATTTCCAAGCGGAAAAAAAAAAAAAGCTTGACAGAGCTGTGTGCAGCACACAGAGCCCGGGGAACAGCCATGCCCATGAGAATGAAGCTGTTTCACTGGGATTTGAACCGCAGGCACACCCTGTCCAGCTCTGAATGTTCTGTTTGTCGGCGTTTAAAATTGGCGCTAAAACCATTTCATTCGTGTGTGGGTGAAGATTATAAAATGGCACCTCTCAACGATTGTCTTCCCTCCTCCCCAGACTGCCCGTGGGCCGAGGGACCCCGGTTTAATAGTACTGCGTGGGCGCCTTAAATCCCTGACTTCGGCCTTGATCCTCACAGACGTGTGACTTCTCATGATTTCAGTGGGAATTAGGTGTCTACATACCACTGAGGATCTGGGCTTCCGGGGATTCAACTTGAACACCTGCTGTGACGTAGTGGGGGGGCGGTCTGCTCTGTAACCCGGGGTCCCCCTGCGCTGTGCTGTGTGATTCCTACTGACTCATCACATGTGTATTCGCCCGAGGACCAGCCTGACCAGATAACAAGGCTCTTCTCCCAGGAGAGAGACAAAGGGAGGGAGGTGGAGACGAACACTTGGTTTGGGGGCAGGGTCTGGGAGCGAGGCAGTTTCTGGCTGGAGAACGTGAAGGGAACAACCTGGGCTGAGGGTCTCAGGAGGGCGATGGACCCCCCTAACCCAAGGGGTCTGAGGCATCCTGGCCTTGACTCGTAGCCTCGTCACGTCTGTGCTGGGCTGTATCCCGGAGAAGCAATAAACCCCCTCTGTTCTACTGGCTGGCGGAGTCTGTTTTTGCTGCTACATGGCTGCAGGATCGAGGGGAACCCCGTCCCGCCGTCACACCCACCACTTATCCTTTTGGGTGCAAGCATAACCACCACCAGGCAGATTTGAACCTGGGACTTCCAGAGCTTAGCGTAGGAGTCCCTAGTGCTTGAGCTATAAAGTCAGCTGGCCCTAATTCATATCCACCAAGCATTGTCTGCGTGGGATGCGTTCTGCTCTTCGCCTGTCCCAGGTTTCGGGGGCTTTAAATGTTCTCTCTTGCCCCTTCTCCTGGCTTTCCTGTCTCCTGTTCCAGCAGGTCGGCCTTGGTAAACGGTCACAACTTGGAGCACGTTCCGAAGGGTTTTCGTTGGGACGAATCTGTTCTAGCAGCCCATTTCAAAGTCAACCGCCCTGGCCTGTGAACATTTCATCCCCCAGCTCTCTACATCCCCCGTTTTTGCAAGCTGCCTGTTCCTGGGACATTACGGCTGTCTCGAAGAGGGCATGACTCTAGAACCGCGGGACAACACCTCTGTTGCAGCGAGAGGGGCGCTGCCCTTCCAGCTGCACCTACCTGAAGCCGTAATACGTGTCTGGGTCAGCCAGCTCTGGGAAGCGGTGCTTCAGCTGGCTCTGCAGGGTCAGTTTCTCGTACCACATCTTGCTGTCGATACGAACGTCCCAGTGCTTGTTGACCACGATGAAGTCCGAGCTCTGGTATAGGATGGACAAATTATCAATGCTGCCCGGCTCCATGGCCCTCTGCAGGGAAGGACGCGGGTCACGCTCCTTCGTTTGTAAAATCCTGAAAAACAAAACAACCCAAAGCATAAACACGGCTCAAACATTCACTGGATTCCTGTGATGCAGGGCAGAAGCACTGCCTTTCGCCAGCTGGTGCAAACGCCATGCCTCCCTTGGCCCAGCCTCGTTTCCGCAGTTGTTTGTTACAACCTCTTGACGGGTCCTCTCATAGAGAGACAGCAAGCTCCTTGGGGCAGGTTGGGTGGCCGATTCTCCCGACCAGACAGACCAGACGCAATTTGCGGCTATGGCAACTGGTCCATCTGGTCCAGGAGAGTTGGCATCCCTGTCTTGAATTAGGTTAATACTAGGGATGTTAGAATTTAACCCAGTGTTTCTTAAACTTTTTAAGACCGAGGAACACCAAACAATAATTTTTTTTATGCGGAACACCAAGGATTTTTTTGTTGAGCACAAAAAAAAAAAAAAAAGGCACCACCCCTTTAAGGAACACAGTTTAAGAAACACTGATTTAAACGATGCTCATCAGTTAAACTCTACCCCCCTCCCGGGAAGGCAGGCACTGGTGGCCCCACTCCCAACAAGGCTTCACTGCAGGCTCCGCAGTATGAAACTTACTTAAGCTTTATCCTGCGAAACCTACAACGTGTGTAACCACTATGATTTTTTTAGCAGTTACACGGTTACCTTCTTAAACATCTTTTAACATCCCTAGTTAAAACAGCAGCGATCGCAATGCAACCTGATGGGCACAATGACAACACAATTAATAGTGTGTGCACTAATAGTGTGTGCACTATTATTGTTCACATCTGCACACACTCTGGCTAATCTCCTGCCCATCTGTCTGGCTGGCACTACGCCTGCTCTCAGGCCGTGCTCCACTATGCACTAGTGTGGGATGTGAATGGACTCCCCACTTCCAGCTGTGTACATAGGAGGGATGAAAGAGTTTAACCGGTTAACCGATAAGCATTATCTTGACTGGTTAACCTTGTTGGTTAAACTCCTGGCCACTGCTGGCGTCCTGTGGGTCCGGCTGCAGCTGAGAGCCTATGGGGCCAGCAGCCCATTTGAGTTTTTAACCATGTAACTGACTGAATTTCAATCAGCTGCACTTTATTATTATTTTTTTTCAATTTTTACATCCCTACTACATAGGGCAGCAAACCCTCTTGCTTCTACTCTCTATGGGTATGTCTACACTTGCTCCCTAGTTCGAACTAGGGATGCAAATGTAGGCGACCAAAATTGCTAATGAAGCGAGGATTTAAATATCATTAGCATGATCTCGCTGGCGTGTTACTCCAATCAACAGCTGGTTCGAACTAACGCGTTGATCACTTTTGAAACATATTTAAATCTCCGCTTCATTAGCAATTTCGGTTGCCTACATTTGCATCCCTAGTTCGAACTAGAGAGCAAGTGTAGACATACCCTGTGTTGCATTTGGGACTCACAATGCGTGGAGAATTAAAAGCCCTTATAATTAAAAATTTGTACAGAACCTCACATAACTGTGTCATGAGGCTCTTAAATGCTCCCACAATGCAAATAAGGAATGCACCCCTTGACGTGGAATTTACAACTAACACCGTCTGGGGGGCAGATCAGAAATGTAGACACTGTAAAGCAGAGCTTCTCCAAAACAAACAGAAGCATTAATGTGCCAGTAAAAAATTATAATCCCTGGGAAATAATGAATTTGAAATATAAATATGGATCCATCTATTGGCTCAAATTGAAAAATTGCAGCCCTAAAAACTTGAAACCAAAGTGACAGTCCCAGCTGCAAGCAAGACAAAATGCAAAGACCATAAAGAGTGAAAGGTAACTTGGATTTTTAAAATCCTTTTAATTATTATAACAAAGGCTCTGTCTTTGCACTAGACAAATGGCTGCACCAGTGTTGTCGGTAAGATAATGAACAGTTTGCTTACAATAAATGATGTGAAATATACCAGTGTGCATTTAATGACAGCCGTCAATACAATCGGGACATAGCATGGGTTGTGTTCTTTCATCTCAGCACCATGCACTCTCCCATCCATCATCTCCAGGCCAATGTTCCCTTTAATGTTTTTCCTATCCACGTACGGAATAAATCTGATGACTCTCGTCTGGGTGGCCGCCCAAGCATTCAGTGTACTGGGAACACCGCTCCAGGGCACGGTACAAGATTATCCCCTCTATACGTGTATTTTCTCCCATATTTTGGATCGTTTGAGTGTGTGTCAAGCAATGAGGCTTCCTTTGCTCGCACTCAGGCTCCAATGCTGCACAGCTGGAGGAAAAAGGATGCAGGCCGTAGATGTGGGTACCCACATCCCCGTGTGGCCCCAGCTCTCACCCCCCACCCGCTCCAGGGCACGGTACAAGATTATCCCCTCTATACGTGTATTTTCTCCCATATTTTGGATCGTTTGAGTGTGTGTCAAGCAATGAGGCTTCCTTTGCTCGCACTCAGGCTCCAATGCTGCACAGCTGGAGGAAAAAGGATGCAGGCCGTAGATGTGGGTACCCACATCCCCGTGTGGCCCCAGCTCTCACCCCCCACACT